AAAAGTCTGTATTTGCTTGCCTAACAATAGGCTGTGTATTTTCCAGGCTAATTTTGGTGAATTTGAGTAAGTAAAAATGACAAAACCTCACCAAAAATGCTTATATTTATATTTGCTCTGTGGTTTATTTAACCATCAGACAACCAAGGTTAGTTGTATGACAGATTAATGACTTTTCCAAGCAAATACATGCACGCACACACTCCTCCCTAGCTGTTGAGACAAAAAATGTGCTTACTTATGAGTTCTTTATTTTATCGTCAGACAACTACTGTCTGAGTGTGTAGCAAGTACAGACCTGTTTTTAACTAATTAACTGTGGAAATACTCCCAAATTTGCTGATCTGCTTCTTTGGAAGGGAAAAGGAAAGCTGCATCTAAATCAAACTTTTTTTATTTTATTTTTTATTTTAAATAGTTTCATACACTAAAAATATATGTTCCAATTGTTGTGAATTGTGATCTGCCTTTTTGGTTCAAGAGTGAACATGAAATCTGTGAGGTGGACAAAGGTTATTCATGAATGAGGAATTCTTTTTGTATTTTGTCACAGATTCTTAAGATAATGCCTCTGGCACAGGGAAGTAGATTCTCTATGTAAAATCCCTCATTGTTAAAAACTTTCCCCATGCAGTGATGTAATGCAGCTGGTTATTATCTTTCTTTGTGGAGGTTGAGGGAAAGTGCACTCTATTTTGAGTGGATTGGTGATTCACAATCTTGAGGATGCTTGTAAACTTTCTGAGAAAGCCTGTCACAGAGCTCAAGCTGAATTCATTCTGTGTTACGATTTTCTTTTTCTTTGGCACCCAGATGACTCATCCTGCTGCATTTCCTACTAGGCATTTTTAAACACTGGTCATATCCCGTGTTACCTGCTGTGGCTGCCTGGGGAATTTACTTGGAGCCTTATTCACCTAATAGTTTGCTACCACACTTATCCCGTAGCTTAAACCCCAGCAGTGGTTTTCCTGGCTGCCTTTCACAGCTGTTTACCCACATGCTTCCTCTTCCTCCACCTCACTGCCTCAATCCTCTGAATCACAAGTCTTCAGATGTGACTGTTTTCAGTTACTCACCACAATCTATATTTTCCTTATTTCCTCTCCTGTTTTCTTTTCAATAAGTCTGGCTTTTGATACTTAAGATGCCTCTTCCCCATTGCCTCTGACTTGAACTCAAAGGAACTTTCTCCATATGTCACTGAACAGAATTATTTAGCTGCTGTGTTGGTTGACCTGCGGCCCGTTCCCACTAAACACTGATTCTTCCATCCTTCAGCTCCCTTTGAGTTAAGGTTACCAGTTGGGGTCTGGTAACCTTAACTCCAGTCGGAGTCTGTGAGCCGTCATAGGGTGAGAGGCGAGATACATCCTGTTCACCTAACCCTATGGACCATATGTGGCAAAATTCATCCAAATTATCGGGAATATTGTACTTGGTGCTTAATTATTGTATTAAACAGTGATCCTTACTGTGCTAGTTGCTGTTGAACCACTGGACAATCACTGAAACTAATTTTCGTTTGTTGGCTAAACGTACTCTTGACCCACCACTACAGAAAATGTCCTTAACTGGACATGTAGTATAGTGAGACTGCTTAGCCTGGACATGAAAACACGAGGTTTCTTAGGTATACGTGGTGCAGTATAAAGCTGATGATCCTTTTTGCCTGTGAATAAGATACCCATGTGCAGACGGTCACTCCTGAATTTCCTAATTTCCCTGCCCACTACAGTGCATGTTGTACTACAGATGGATTAAAAGGTTGCATAATAAGACACTAAGGAATAGGATATTTGTTTTAGCCTGGGAACAGGATTATCAACTGCACACAGAGATGATTGAGGAATGATAACGATGTAACACTATGAAAGCAATCTTTTCCCAGTGAGAATAGGTGGGTTGATTTTTGGAAATTGAGAGAATCTATTCCTGCTTTTATTTATTTATTTATTTATTTCCTGGGGGGGCATTTTAAAATCTTTTGATGTTTAATAGGCAAACAAATTGTATTATTGGTTATAATCCAATATGCATATCTGTGCACAGACTTTGAAGAGCAGGTGCTCACATCAGAAAAAGCCATTATAAAATAATAAGAAAATATTGAGTTGCACACAGTAGCAGACGCTTTCCTTGCTTGCGTACTTACCGATTTATTTATATCTATGAAAATATTTTCATAAAGAGTCGGTGATCTTATTCAATTTCATAATGTTCCAAAATATCATACACTTAAGTAATGAAAATGATGAAAAATCGATAAAATTTACAGTGATGTGTTGTGACTCCACAAAGATATGTTGAGGACTAATGCTCATGACATTATGATCACATGGTTCTTTCTGTTGTCACACATGGGGTCCAACAGAGCTCAGGTGATTTTTAAAGCAGAATAGCTTGCTTTTTATAAGTGGGCTGTTACTGCTTATGTTCGTCCGGCTGTAATCGTATCTCAACTTCATAATGCTGACAAACGTGGACGAAGCTAGTGCAAACACGGTCGTTACCTGGCTGTCGCTAATAAAAGCCGGTCAGAGCCATGCTGATGCTCCTCTGGGTGCTGCAACGGCACGCATAGCTGGCTGTGAAGATAAGATTTCTGGGCCGGGCATTGTTGGGCAGAGGTTAGTTTTTGTTTAATAAAATTGGAAATTAATTATATACAGTTTCTAAAATCCCAATGCGTTGAATTAACTGAAACTGATGCCCATTCAGAACTCTATCTTTCACCATGATCATGAGTTCAGAATTTTGTCTGACCCTGTGATTCCTCAGATATGTTACCAGACCCGTTTTGGCTTTTGGACTATACAAACAAAACAAACAACAAAAAAACCCCCAAAAAACCATTTAAGCTACAATGTTCTGCACCTTGATGTGCCAGGACATCAAGTACATTGTCACAACTGTGAAAATGGATCGTACAGTATCCAAGTAAAATCCCACACTCTAGAACTGCGTGGTTTGTGTCAGTTATTTTAGTAGTCAGTCTGATTAAATGAGTTTCTTTTCGCCTTGTTGACCTTAACATACCTAAACGTGTGCACTCCACACCCTTCTCTTCCATGTAGTACACTCCCAGACTCCAAAGACGTGTGCAGTGCTGTTTTTGGCACCAAACCAGCGCATATCCAGCCATGCCCATCAGAACTAGCTTCATTCACAGCAACGGTCTGGTTTGTTTGGGACGCCTCCCTCTTTCAACAATACACATCTGGAAATAGAATATGCAGTGCAGTAATGACAGAGCATTTATTTAATGGCTCTGGTGACAAGTGGCAAACAAAATAAACACAGAAGTTATGGCAAAATTTACTGAAGTCAATTTTTGTGTTTGCTGCTGAAACTTCAGGTGAAGTGCTCTGTATCCTTAGCCTTTGAGTATCAAAGGATGTCCACATGCGGAATAGTATTTTAATTTTTGTGGGTACTTTGCTAAATGTCTTCACTCCCACCGCGCTCTGATTGAAATCATTTGGCCCGGTCATAACGATATCTGACGTTTCCGAGGTTGTTTCAGGTCGACTGGCCAATACTTCCGACACTTGTTGACCTCAGACCGAGGGTTAGATCAGTGAACTAAGTGCGCTGATGTAAAACTAGCAGTTTTGTGTGATCTGATAGTTGTCTGAAACATCAGGAAAGAGAAAAAAAAAAAAAGGTCATGTCCTACTAATTAATGAGAGAAGGCAGTGATGAAATGAAATCATCTCCTGGATTATGGTAATTATTAAGTTTCAGTCGGATACACTGGCCTTTTTACTCATTCACTTTGAAGACGTGAACTGTCCTCCGTTCAGGTGAACTGAGGTTTGTTGTAGATACGGTTGTTTATCTGAGTAAGGCAAGGGTACTATGAAATGAGGCTTGTTCCATGAGGATGTGCTGGTGTGCTTTTAATTATAGCGGAGCAGGAGGAGACAAAAAGCTGAATGTCGTCTGTCAGCTGGAAAGAACATAATGTTGGCATAGTTAACTTGGAGTAAACAGATTTCAGCAGATGGGAAAGAAATGTTTTTACCCCTCGAGCTAAGAAGAGCCACCGATTTGAACCAATACAGTGAAGACTTACAGCAGAGTATTACTGCATCTGCTTTCTGCAAATACGATACTGAGGACATATGACATTGAATACAGTATAAAGGAAGTTTGTGGAGTGACCGACGTGATTACTCATTAAACGTGGTCTGATTTCATCAAGCTGAAGTTGTCTGGCCATAGTTCGCTCCTGCTTCTGCAGTATTGGTCAGAATTTAACCAAACTTAAATGCAATGATCACCCAAATTGTGATCATAGTCACAGTCAAGGTCATTGTTGTTGGTCTCGGTGGATTTTAATTATTAGTGTGCACAATCCCGCTAACTAGTGACAAGAAAACGTATCCTTTTCTTTCTGTAGTTCACACATTACATGTGAATTGTGATGATTGTGAGACGCATGAGCTGCTATTCACTCACGGCGGCGTAACATCCGATTGAGCCATGTAAGAATAAAGGAGGTGTTTATCCAGAGAATTCGCACAGTGAGCAGAAGTCATGGTTGTTGCCTCCTTGATGCTCTGCAGAACATTTTCTATTGTCAGGAAACATGTCCGACTGAGACTCGCGTGACATTATGAAGCATTCATGTGTGGAAATCCTTTTCATCATAACTATTCAAAACACAATTCGACTTATCGAATGCATGAACGAGGTACTGTTCATGCCTTTAACACAATGAGTAATCACTCACATTGCGTGCTAGAAAAAGTAAGCAAACCTATGTGCTAAAGACTGATATTCTTTTTGGTGTTCCAGTTTAGGAGATGATGAAAGTTGTCAGTGTGTGCACCTTTAGAAGTGATCCTCACAATAATTAAAGTCAACACTTGCAAGTACAACTGTTTGTTTCAGAATTTATCTGTTGTTCAAGCCCCTGAGTGCCTAAAGCTACAAAATGTAAAATCAACTTGGTGGCCTGTACAAAATAATAACTTACAACCTCTTCTTTTTAGGTTATTGACTCACTGGGTGTCATGATCTACAAAGCTCTAGACTATGGCCTCAAAGAAAACGAAGAGCGCGAGCTCAGCCCGCCGCTGGAGCGCCTCATCGACATGATGACCAACACGGAGGAAACGGAGAGTGACCCCTGTCCCGACGAGGGCTACGAGGCCACAGAAGAAGAGGATGAATGCGAAGAAGAGGAGGAAGGGGACCTCGTGTCTGATGGCTCCAGCAGTACAATCAGTAGCATCCGGAGCTATCGAGACATCATCATGGTAGGGTTTAATTTTATTAAGATACACATGTAATCGGTTTGCAATGAGAGCTTAGTTTGTCTGCCAGATTCCTTGAGTACATAAATCTGTTCTCAACACGTGCTGCTTCTATTAACTCTAATAATTAACTACAGTGTTCCTGCTGTAGAGCTTCATCAGTCTGATCACTTGGTCCATAATGGATTGAAATGGCAGAGCAAATTGAAATAAAGCAAAGCTATCGCAGGCATATGAAATGTGTGGCTTTCTGTTTTGTGTGGAATAAACTGCCGTATAGTTTGTGTGCTTGCCACATTTTTACAGCTGGCTTGTTAAGAAAGCAGTGCAGCCGCATGTAATCACCCCAGCACAAACGTTTTCCCCTGATAGAAGCTGTCACACTGTAAATTCCCCAAGTAGCTTCTGAATAAGACGGGTAATTATAGCCCTGTAAACACACTGGTATTAAGGGAATGGGGTTAGAAGGTTTCACAGCCTGTGTTATAAATTCTTATAAAACTGATGTGGAACACAAATATCAGGTCTGTTTGCTGCCTGTGTGCATCTTCCCTAAGCTCTTACTACTCCAGCAATCACTCTGTTCAGTGTAAAGTCATTATGGCATGGCTGCGGACAGATCTGGCACGTCTACATCCAGTCTTATTCTCTTCTGACAAACAGAGGTATGTCACTTTGAAGTTCCAGCGAAACGTGAAGCTGGTACAGTATGACAGGACCTGCTAGCTGGCATCCTACTTAGACAGGAATATTTAAATGTTAAAGTGCCGAATGGGTTTGCTCATTGCTCTTGTACAATGGAGTGAGCGGAGGCTACATGAGCTGGTATTGTTCTACTGAAAGTGAGTTAGGGGTTTGGATCCAGCCACATTTATGCCAATTATGGCTCATCAAATGAAGCCCTGAGTTTAACATCAAATTTAACTCCATATTCTTATGTTTGCACACTTGATTTCCAGAAGTTGTGCTGTTATTTTGCAGTTTCACTTGGTTTTTCCATATAAACATTTTTTTTGCATGTTTCCACAGAGAATTGTTATCAGTAGAAACAATGGAAACGACAGCTGCTGTGATATTTGAAGAATGTTTTAACTCTCACTTCTCAGGTGTCATATCACCTGTTATTTTCCCATCGTGACAAGAAGGCGTCTGTTTGCAGAGTCAGACATTTTTTCAGCTTGCCAAGCCCTTTACCTGAAAATGAAAATATGCCATCCATCTGGTTCGGTATTGTTTTTTTGGAGATTATTTGACAGCGCATGCATAACTCCTTCAGGTAACTCTTATTGTCACGACAATTGGACTCAGATACCACGCAGGTCGGAGCTTTAAATGGTGCGCAACCAGTGATTGTCAAGCGGTGTTGTTCCAGCTGGTCAAGCAGGTTTAGTGTTATTTTTGTCAAGTTCCCCAACATCACACGAGTCTTTAGCCACGCATGAGGCATGACTGAGAATTAAAATGCCCACTTTGGTCCAGATTGGAGTTAAATTAGTCTCAATAGGGTTACAAAAGTGTACAAAGTGTATGATCCACAAGCATAAAGACGATTTACAAATGTACATAAAGGTTTGTGTGTAATTTGGAGTACTGACAAATGTGTGCTTCAATCCACACACAGATATAAAGCAGCTTTATTGATTGTTTATTCCATAAGCACCAGTATATGTAATACATTGCATTCTTTGCCTCTACAGCTATGTTCTTCCCACCTACCCAGTCCATCAGATGCCCCCATCCATTACCAGGCTGTGTGCCGGGCTCTGTACGCCGAGAGCAGAGAACTGCGCACTTTCTTGGAGAAGATCAGGAGTGCCAAGGAGGTATGAACTTTTGATGTGTGACATTATGACGTTATTGCTAATTGAAGTGCAGATGAGTGCGACAGTCTTCTGCACTTACCTATTTTAAATGTTATCGCTACATTTCCAAAGTTTGGTGAACTTTTATGTAAGTCACTCAAGAACTAAGAGGGCACGTCACAAATTTCTCATATTATAAACATGAGCGCTAAGAAAAACTGATGGACAGAACAGACTGTAATAAAGGACCAAACTCTCTTCTAACAGTCTTACCACTCTGGTTTGGTACATATGTTAAACTGCTGGAATAGGGATCTATTCGGCCAACGGACTTATTGCTGGGGAAAGAAAATCCCAGAGTGGTACCCAGAAACAGAAACAACAGTCCACGAAGTGATTATAGTACAGATTGACTGAGACGGTGGGTGTCCCTGGATGACCCTCTTGTTAGGCCAGCCATGAGCTCGAGTGCTTGGCATAACTTAATTCTGAATGGACGTGTTCTGGCATCCTCTCTCAAGTAGCTGTGCTCAACCTAACAGGAACGGTTGTGTAAGCGGGATGTTTTTACTGGAGTAGCTGAGAGTTATTAGGGTGGAATACCGACTTGTGCTGTTTTTCCTTTTTTATTTATTTATTTATTTTATTTAGAGCAATATAAATTATTTTTTACAGTCATGAGGGGAAAAACTATTCTCAGTTGAATAACTAAATATGCCCTTACTGCTTCCATATTAAGAGGTTAAGTAGCAGGAGGCAGGTGCTGCTAATCAAATGCTTTTGATTAACTGATCATCAGCAAGTCTTAGCAGCCCTATATATTAAAAAAAAAAAAAGAAAAGGGGGGGGGGGAGGTTTTGCCAGTTTCTGGTATGAGTGTTAATGCAATGGCATGATCTTCCCAGGAGTGGATGTCTCAACAAATTCACTCCAAGTTCAGAGTGCATTGCTCAGAAAAAATGCAAAAGACCCAAGAGCTATGTCTCAGTTTACAGGCCACAGGTGGTATGTTCAACCTTAAACCTTAGTGCAGTGCAATTAGAAAAAGACTGAACAAGTATGGCCTGTTTGGAAGGGTTGTCACAGAAAGCCTCTGCCCTCTAAAAAGATCATGTCTGCACAGCTTTTCTCCAAATGTAGACAAACTTACCCACTTTGTCTCATCTGTCCGAAAGTATGTTGTTCAAAAAGTCTTGTGTTTTGTTTAGATGCAGCTTTATAAATATAACACAGCATATGAGCGCAAACGACTAATACCAACGATAAAGCACTGAAGTGGAAGGGTGACAGTTTGGGCTTGTTTTGCAGCCACCTGGGCACTTTGCAGAGATTGAGTTGACCATGAACTCCTCTGTGTACCAAAGTATTCTGGAGTCAAATGTGAGGCCATCTGCCTGGCAGCTAAAGCTTTGCTGAAAGTGGACAGTGATCCCAAGAAAATCAGCAAATCTAAAAAAATAAAATAAAATGGCTGAAAACGAGTCAAGATGCTGCAGTGGCACAGACCAGATTGAAAGGCCGTGGTGGGATCTTAAGAGAGAAATAAGTTTAAGGAGACCATGTAGCAAAGCCAGAAATGGTAGGTTTGCTGTACAATATGTACTGTAAACACTAGCTTCTGTAGCAGGCATGATTCATGCAAACAGTCTTATGTAAGACGGTGTGGTTATAGAATCAAGTTTAACTTTATTACAGCAATTTAAAGAGCTCACAGGATTGCATCAGACCACTGCTGTATAGGGGACTGGCTGTAGCCTTAAAGGCCTCTGGATGATTGCTAATAAGCAACCATATACTGTACCTCACACATCACACATGCTTCCAAATTAGGAAATGATCAGTTTTTCTTAGTTTCTCTCACCGTTTCAGACTTTTCTCTAACAAGATTGGCTGGCTCCCAAGAGAAGAATGCTGTTCACAGACTAGAAACCAATGTAAATGTATTGAAAACGGCGTCACTGACTCACTAAATGTTATCATCGTTCAAAACAGGAATGACTCCAGGGAAGTGAAGGTGGGAGATGCATATGCAACTTTCATATCACTTTCACTGAAAGACAGAGGTCGGAACAGTGGGAGTCGGAAGTTAAAATATTACATAACAATTTTTTTTTTTTCCCCCCTTAGGGACTTCTTTCTTTGATCTAAAACCCTGGTGTTATGGTAATTTGTCATTTTTAAATTGAGATTAACCAGCACAGAAAAAAGATTGAAAGTATTGGACATGTCAGGAATGAGGTTGATTTTGAGCAGTATCACAACTGAAGTAGGTCACCCAGAACAGTTCTGCATAACAGATTCAGCAGTCACATATTAATGGCAGTCATTAGTTGTTCATTGACCTTTTTTTGGGTCATTGTTTTTTTTTTTTTGCTTTCCCCTCTGACATAAATTCGATTTCAAGATGAGAAGGATCCGCCTGGTCATGTGAATCCACATTTGTTTAATTAAACAGGCTGCCATGACATTATGGGCAATATGCCTAGGACCTTAACCTAATATTTGTCTGGGAGAGAGTTGGGCACAAGTTCACTACCATCACTTTGCTCATTTTCTGTCTCATTTTTTCCTCGCTAACATTCCATGTTATCCCATTTTGCTATCTTGCCTAGAACCTTCGGAAGATGGAAGGGGAGACTCAGGAAGAACCTGTTAAAGACCTCGATGAGCTGCAAAATGCAGACTGGGTAAGAAGATCTACTTGGTACATCAATTATCACTTTAAGGCAGGAATGTCAAACTCATTGTACATCATGAGCCACATGCAGTCTACTTTGATCTTGAGTGGGCCAGACCAGTGAAAGGCATTGCAAATGCATAAGTGCATCACTAACCGTGCCGCTTGTATTCCAATCAGGCACGGTTCTGGGTACAGGTGATGAGAGATCTAAGACACGGTGTAAAATTGAAGAAGGTCCAGGAGCGCCAGTACAACCCACTACCCATAGAGTACCAGCTCACACCCTACGAGATGTTGATGGACGACATCCGTTCAAAACGTTACAAGCTGCGAAAAGTCATGGTGAGGGTGTTTGGAGTTTTTTTGTTTTCGTCCTCTGTGTAGTTCAAAGACAAGCGATGGTTTTGTTCTGTAGCGTGACCTTCCATTTTTTTTTTTTTTATCACGTCTTCATGTTACTTTTAATGTCTTCTCCCAGGTGAATGGGGACATTCCTCCACGGTTAAAGAAGAGCGCACATGAGGTCATTCTGGAGTTCATCAGGTCACGACCTCCTCTCAACCCTGTGAGTCGTGCAGAACACGGTGTCAGTAATTAGTATGGAGGCTCAAAATCAATAAAAATACATGAATTTATTAATTTGCAATTACACACAATAATATTGTATTTGATAAATATATATATATATATATACACACTTTTAAATGTATTATCTCAAACAAATTTTTGGCATTAATCTAAAAATATGTCCTGTTTATTTGTTGCTTGATTAGCTCTCGGTCACACAAAACTTGAAACCAGTCAGTAACCAGGCAACCACTGGTCAACAGGAAAGCAGTTGGTGAGTGGTTGTTCATGGTCGCTAGGGAAAATTGGTTGCAAAGCCATAAAGCTCATTTTTCTGCAGTTTTCCCATTTTAGTGGTCCTGGTTGCCAGGGCGCCCACTGCCTGGCTCTTAAGTTGGATTTGATCTTAGTTCTCTAGTGAACCCTTAATGGGCTTTAGCCTTTAGCCAGTCAACCAATAGTACAATAGTACCAATTGTAGTATGCTCAAAACACACTTTAAATTATAGCTCGTTTTAGCTGCATCCGTGATAACGTAAATTTTTTTTTTTTAAATGGATATATAGCTTTGTTTAGGGGGGAAAATTTTTTTTTAGCAAAATAAACAAGTAAATAAATAAAATGACAGATATAGAAGCAAAATAAAGCAGACATATAATATTGCATTTAAAAAAAAAAAGAAAAGAAAAGAGAAAAGCAAACAAATCTTCTGTTATATACTAGATTTGACATTTTAATGACATCAGTTTAATTATTGAATCCTAAATTTACTTAAAAAAAAAAAAGCTTGGTCCTTTGTAGCATGTGTCATGCATGTAATTGGTATAGTATTTAAGTATACCTCATGTACTCCACTTTCAGTACAGTAAAATTGAACTTGGACAGTGACGTGACAATTGTCGTCTATATTCAGCACAGCTGTGAAAACACTGAAGTCCGTGACATCAATATTTAGTTGTCACTTATGATACCAGTACCCTGCCATACACGATGCTGCAGATGCCAGATGGCTGAGTGTGACTGTTGACACATGCAAGTCTATCATTGCTTTTAGCTAAATGATTAATTTTGACTGAGAAAATAGCTGAACGACGTCATCACGCACTCTTTCAGAGCAGAGGTGTGAGAGGAAAATCTTGGTAATCAAGTACGCACTCCTGATTGTCACGACAGGTCTCTGCTCGCAAACTCAAACCACACCCTCCGCGTCCCCGGAGCCTTCACGAGCGACTGCTGGAGGACATAAAAGCGGAAAGGAAGCTGAGGCCGGTTTCACCCGACATGATCCGCAGAAACCGCCTGGGTGAGATGACGATTACACAAACCCACGCTCAGAAATGATTCTACTTATGGCCTGACATATAAGCACGAACTCGCACTGCTCTGACTCACATGCAGATGTATTGATCTTTAGAAGAAATCTCTCTGGGGGAGCGTTGTTCTTAACTTTCTGCATGACAGCTTTCAGTGAACCTAACCCATCCACTCAGGACATAAAACATTATCCATGAATTAATCATTCTTAACTGCAGCCATCACGAGTACTCTAACAGCCTGCTTCCTGCATCGATCTCCTCGCTTTATTAAAGGTGTCAGTGTTTAAACAAGGATCATGCTGACTGCAGCTGTGAGCCTTCATGTCTTTAGTATAGCTGTTACTGCAGTTGCCCAAAGATGCCCAGGTCTCTGCGTGTGACCTTAAGTGACATTACTCATTATGTAATGCAGTGCCTTTTGAAGTGAGCAGTACATAGGTCGTAATCCTCTTTTAGTATATAATGGTTATACATGGACTGAACATGGTTTCAATTAAAGCTAAAAAAGCAGCAGTCTTTACCATCCAGTCTTCTGTGCAGTTCATAGACCAATCCCTTTGTAAGTGACTTCAGTAAACTAATGTTCAGTTGTTGCATAATCGTACATATGGGGCAATTCTGTTAAACTGTTTATGAAAATCTGAGATTATGGAGCCGTTGTGAACGCGTGGACGTGTTAAACTGGGCTGATTCTGACATCATCGTCCATTATAACATAACATTTTCTTTGTTTTCTATTTTGCTTCCTTTCTTTCCTTTTTTTCCTCCCAAATATGGGCATATCTGTCAGTCATGCGACCCCTTAGCATGTCTCACAGCTTTGACTCATCAGGTAAAGTTCATGTCACCTGTTATGTTCTATCCTATTGTTGTGCCCGTGTTTTATTCTAGGCTATTTTTTAGGACTTAGATTCTTGCTTCTCCCTGATTTAAACACACCCCACATACTTCATGCTTGTGTTGTACAAGTGCATTTATGACACACTACTGTCACTTACTGGCTGTTTATTATAAAGACACTTTCTGAAGGTGAGAGGAAAGATGGGTCAGCACAGTGCACCTTAATCTTAGGATGTGTGAAACTGTGTTGGTAATGTTCTGTTGCTGGGGTGATTTTTGGGGCAGCCTGTGGACACAATAAACGTACAAACTCCAGAGAGGGAGGGGATATATTTTAGGGGAGATGCTAGTCACAGAGGCTGTCTGTGGTATAGCTGTTATGAGATGGCAATTGGGCCAGAGCCAGTAAAGTGAGATTACAAATCATCACTCTCTCTACGGCTTTCCTCCCGTGCTGGTCATCCTAATCCTCCCTCTCAATGTGAAAAGTGAAAGCATTATGTAACGCTGCTGTCAGCAGCCTAACCCCTTAGATAAATGGTTGGGAATGGGAGAAGACTGTTCGAATGTAGCGTTACAGTTCACGAGGTGACCACGATCCAAATTATGTACGAGAATAACTTTTAGCACTGTGGCTGCACTCATTGTCTTTCCCTGCTTCCTCCCCCGCACTTCCCTTCGTACGCCTCTCCCTCTGTGCTTTCTAGTTTACGCACAATGTGTTTAAGCTTTAATATAGAGCACTATCGCACAGCGTCCTGTTAATTCACACCCGGGGTCTGTACTATGAAGCGGGCTACAACTGTGATCGCGCAAAGCGCTGTCAGTCGCAGGTTTTCACATCTCCAAGTCAACCCAGGTTTTCTGATTCCAGCTAGAGGTGGTTTAATTTACATAGAGCTGCATACTTCTCGCAAGGATGGATAGATGGATGGATAGACACATACATGTGGATATATATATAAATTGTGAATCTCAACCTCCTTATTCTTCATGGCCCACACTCTGAGACCCACTGGATTAATGTGTCCCTGAGATTTACTCTTGGGTAAGGCTGTCTTAAGTTTATTCTTCCAGCTGCAACCCAGGTGGTGTTAAAGGCTCAAGTGAAGAACACATATTTATTAAATCTACAGGGCAGCCTTCCAGATCTTCTCGGACTCCCCCCCCCAGAGTTACCTCGCTAAGCCCGCAAATGCTGCTTCATTGTACAGGCCCTCTGCTCTGACAGATGCTTGTCGCTGTCGAGTCCTCCCCGTGGTTCTAGTCTGGTGTTTGTTAACGTCTGTGTGAGCTTCGACTGAAGGTTGTATTCCCTTAATTCATCTGCAGGTGCAGGGAAAAGCATCAGCACTCCTCAGGACTTGTTCCGCAGCTCAGGTAAAGCACACACGGACCGGCGTGTCGTGGCAACTTTGGAGTCTGTGTGACAAAGCAGGAGTGTCGTGAAAATGAGTGAGGGGAAATTGATGAGAAAATCTGAACCGTTGGCATGTGGCTGAGGTTTATCTTCCTCAATTCTGCCTCTGTGGTGTCCTGTCATAACACTGTCAAGAAGTCTTTAATACCAGCTACTGAAGGAGTTGACTCGTGATGTGTGGTTCATGTGTACATGTGACATCTGTAACAGTGTCTCTGTTTATTATGTTGGACGCTGTATCTTCCCGCTTTAATTGACTGTGTTTGACCCACAGACACTCCTGATGCTCGGAGGAAGTTGACCTGCAGCACCCATTCACTGTCCAGCAGCACAGCAGGACCAAATCAGGGCGGCGGGCAGGCGCTTAGCCAGAGAAAGAGGGTGCTCAAAGCGCCCACGCTGGCAGAACTGGACGGCTCAGATTCCGATGTAAGATGTCTGACTCTTATGATTGATTACGAATGATCATGCGTGTCATGTGACTTCATCAGAATCTTGGTTATTATGCCAAAAGAGCAACAAAATTATACACAGTCCTATTTGGTGCAAAGAAAGAAAACAAACCATCTGAACTTTTTCATGCACAAAATTAAAAAGGAGAATTTCTAATAAGCAGTATAAAACAAATATATAAAAAAATAGATATGTATGTGATGGCTTCTTGAGCTCGGAGCATAATTATGTCTAAAAGAATCGTATTCCACAACATTTCTATAATATGGTTAAAGTGACGTTCTGATTTAGCAGCTAAGCTCTCACAATTATTAATGACACGTTAATAATAGGCACACAAACTTGATTGTGGTAGTTAGGAATTTTCGATGAATTGCTAATATGTCGTTTTCTGGATGACAGGAGGAAACCACACGGAGCAGCTCCAGCATGTCCACGTCTTTGATAGAAGACACGTCTCCTGACTCCGTCGCAGCCACGAAGGGTATTAACTTTTGAACATAGTGTATTACACAAATTAAATGTTCCCTCTCTGGCAGACTTTTTCATGCATATTTGTGTCCCATGTCTCCAGCTCCAAAGTTCCTGCCTGTCTCCGCCACTCCACAGCCAGACAAGCGACAATCTTCACAGAGGCGGCACTCTATCGAGAAGGAGTCCCCTACCAGCGTCAGGCCTTTCTTACCACCATCCAGACAGAGCTCAAAGTCTTTGGTACGTTACCTTGTGGAGGCTATTTCTATTGGACTCTGTTTATGACAGATCTTTATCATCTAAATGATTAAAAAAAAAAAAAGAAGTAAATATAAAAGCAGTTCATGACCCACCAGTTGGAAATATGCAGTCAGTTGGATGAAATATCAGCCTCGCTAATCAAAATGAATGGAAACCCATTATTGTGGTTACCGGTACATCGATTAACAGCACCAGACGTACAATACGTCTGTTGAATTTACTCCTGTCCTGTGACCGGCCATTGGTTTGCAGTGAGGTCACTGGTTTTCTCTGACTCTGAGCTTGGTCCTATGATTCTAGTGAAGTTGATGGACCTAATTGAAAGCACAGGACAGCGCTGTACGAAAAGGATTTAGGTCAAGTTGGTTTATTCTCACTATTTATGTATTTCTTTTTTTTTTTTCCAACACTGCCAAACCCAGAGCTTCTAATTAAGCCAGACTCAACTTTTAAAAGTCTGCAGTGATGCATGTCAAGAATTAGAAGGTTTTCACAGAGAGAACTTCATATTTTAAATCTTCGATCCCTAATCCTTTCCAGAATCTTTCATAATTAGTGACAAATGTTGCTGATTCTGTTGTTTCCATTAAGATCTGTCCAGTTGACAGTAGAAACGACAAACAGTGACGAGATTAATCTAAGACATCTTTGATGAGTCACTTTTAAAAGTTGGAATAAAAAGTTACTGTTCATTAATACTGGGATGTTAACTCTTTCTCCCTCAGATGCCTGCTAGGGGTAACCCTCGTTTCTCTTTCTGAGTTAAGCAGTTTGTCTTATTTCAGACCTGTTTCCAGAACAAAATGACTGAGTGTGCATCAGAAGTTGGCGGGAGGGATTTCTGCCTGTGCAGCTTTTCCCTGGTTTAAAACACCCTCTCAAACTTCATTCATATAAGAAGCTGAAGCTCTTTAGTTAATGTAGAACAGTCAGGTCTTTGTTGCATCCCTTCCCTTTCTCGTACTCCTGTTATATCTCATTTACATGTTTACTCTGATTAGCCATCTTCTTCCAAAGACTCACTTTAAATTATTTCTTATTTTCAAATGCTGCAGCTAATGACGGATCCCAGTGGCAAGGTAACTAGGTCGATTTCCTGTTTATCGATTTATTTATTTATTTATTTGCAATGTCCACTAATCCTAACAATTAGTACTAAGGAATGCATGCATGCACGCAAGGGAGAAAGTGATTTAAAGGAATGCCATCAAGGTTGGAAGATGCAGCCTAAAGCCTATCACTGTATCCGGCTTCTTCAAAGCTGTTTTTTATTGCTGGATGTACTCTGTGTGGTTTAGTTGAGGGAGCTGGCCGTATAGTGTGCGCAAGAGGCAGCACACAAGCTTTGTACTAGGATTTGGCAGAGACCGAGGTCTATGTGAGTACAGCGGATGTGTGAAAGGATTTTAATGGACTGAAAGGAAAGCTGCAATGTCAGTGAACAGCCTTCCTTTTGAGGGGTACATTGAGATCAAAAATGAAATGTCAAGCCAGATATATTTGTTAAAAATTAAGTAATCCTATGTGCTCATGCATGTTTGAATGTGATGATGTAATCCAGAAGTTTTTTTGTATATCTTTTTATTAGATTTTATGCTTTGTAACAACGTTGGCTGTAAGCTGATGCTGTAACTGACAGACCACCTAATGGGTTCATGCAGTTCTTGTATTAAATTTTACTGAGCGTACTGTGTGTGATTAGCTCGTTGGAATATAAGGTCTTGCTTCTGTTTAAATATCCTGTTCCCTCTGTCTGCTGGTCAGGTGGATGCCGGCAGTGGCGCTCAGGGCTCGGTATGTCGCCACTACTGCAAAATATCAAATTGTATCACCTCCAAGCACTGTGTGGGGGAACCATCCTGAATGGCGTCTAATTCAATCGGCTTGTTTTTTAGATGAATGGGACCTTGTGTTGTAACTGCTTGAGTGAATGCAACTATCTGTGGCGTACTGAAAATAACTCAGGGAAGATTATATATGAGGCCAGATCTTATACAAGCACTCAATCCCAGTAAATGATGATGATCAGTAGATGTGCTCCCTGAGACATTTTCCCCCCTGTGGACTTCTTTTGTAAAACTCCAGATGAGAGCTCAGCTGGCACCATGATGGGGGATCCTCTTACAGATTGTTTCCTTGGAAACATCTGGTGAATAACAGGAGCTCAAAACGTGTTTTTGACAGAGAATAAAGCAAATCTGGATTAAAGTAAAGAAATCCTAGAGTTGTGGTTCCAGCATGGGAGGTGTTGTGTTGCATCACATGGAGGTTCTGCATTTATTTTCACAGCGGCGGTGTGAAACTGCCATTCTCACATCTCGTTGCATGTTTAGGTGATGTGGTGTGCAGTGGGGCATTTTTGTTTGGGTTTGTCAAACACATCACTGTCTGTGTGTTTGTGAGCATGGTTTGATGATGTGATGCATGTTTCCCCCGCAGGAGGAGTTCTGTTATCCGGCGGAGTGTTTGGCTCTGACGGTGGAAGAGGTGATGCACATCAGGCAGGTCCTCGTCAAGGCCGAGCTGGAGAAGTTTCAGCAATACAAAGAAGTCTACAACGCTCTCAAGAAAGGAAAGGTACAAAACCACCTGTAAACTTATGGTTTTCTCTTAAACTGATAATTTGTCACATTGATTTTGAAACGCTAGTGCACCTTCCTCACCTCAATTTTTGTCCTCCCCTGTCCAGCTTTGCTTTTCTTGCAGGATTAAAAGGTTCTCCATCTTCACCTGGTCCTACACCTGCCAGTTCTGCAAAAGGTAATTTGAATCGCTGTTAAAAGGACAGCTCGACTTAAAGAGGGAGACTCCAACATTTAAACAAAGTCTGTATTTGACACTGATTCCCGAATTTATAGTTTTCCTGTTTACGTACCAAACATACCCAATTGGCCTCATATCAAACAGCCACATGCCCAGCACATCCTGGCTGGTATTTCATTAGTCGATAAATCTACTGGATGCGTATGAGTAGTTCTACATCTTTCATTGTTTTTCTTCAAACGCGTACATTATTTAAAGTGCTTTCTGCACTGCAGAAGTCTGAGTCGAGACTAAAGAAACCAAACTATCTACTGTAGGAGCTCGTCTCTCTGGCTCTGCTGCATTAGTTTCTGTTTTAAGCTTTAAGTGACAGTTTGACAGGAGTGCAGTACAAAATCAGTGAAGTGGTTTTCACGAATTTCCAGCTTATCGTTTTTTTTTTTTTTTTTTTTTTTTTTCTTTCAGACCTGTGTGTTCCCAGTGCTCGAAAAAGGTACGAGACTGTCAACTGCTACTTGAAACATCAGTTTAGTATTTGACACTCATTCTTTAAGACCTACCTGAGCCCTTTTTAGTTCAGTTGTTTTGTATCTCTTTGCCTCAGATGCGGCTGCCGTCTAAGCCCTATTCCACACTGCCTATCTACTCTCTGGGTCCCAGTGCTGTGGTTAAAGAAGACACGGGCACATCTGCCCCAGCTGAGCCAGACAAGCAGCCGTTTGGGTCTGCGCACACCCGGCACAGTCTGCGCAGAAGGTGACTTAATAATCGGCGGCATCATCGTGTTGTGGCTGCGACTGCTTTCCTGTGTGTGCACAGATATTCACTCAGTTGTCTCTGTTTAGGTTGTCCAAGCACAGCATCAGCAAAGACGGGCGGTCGCAGGATGAGCTAGAGCTGCCGAAGGAGCTCACTGAGGACTGGGTCACCATGGAGGTCTGTGTGGACTGCAAGAAGTTCATCACAGAGATCATCACCTCCAGCAGGCGCAGCCTGTGCGTGGCCACCAAGCGGGCCCGCCTCAATCGCAGAACCCAGTCGTTCTACATGTCGTCGTCCAGCTCTGTCAACTTCAGGCCTTCGGAGCGAACCATCAATGAGTTGTAGAACATCGGACTGGTCGGTGCACTTTAAGTTAAGCTTTGTCATTCAATTAAAAAAACAAAAACAAATAAAACAACAACAAAAACAACAAAAAACTCCAAAACAAACAAAAAAAACCCTCCCACAGTGATGTGTGTACATAAAGTGGAGTTTCGCTAAGAAGTGACCATGTGGCCGGTCCATTCCAAGCTAAAGCTAGTAAAGTTTCTGATACTTCATCCTCCTCTCAGATTGGCTGAGAGGAGGGATGCAGTGTGGGTCACAGAGAGCAGCCGAGCTTCTGCATGTGGGTGACGTTATCGAGCTGCTGATGTCACCATCATGAACCGGGGTAAGGATGAGTGGGAGCGAATGACACAGAAAGCCAAAAGGTGCAGTGGTATCGTGTAAATAGTTCAAAGGCCCAATCATAGTAGGTTTTCCAGTTCCTGTTTACGTCTAGCACTCAGGAAGAACAAACGATTGTCTTTTGACAGAAATGCACTGTAGATCCTCCCGTCAGGTCTGCTGGGGTAGATGTCTGCCAGTCCCCTGCCCCTCTGATTCTTCCAGCAACACTTATGCCAAAAGTTACATCTCTTCTTTTTTTTTTTTTTTCTTTTTTTAAAAAAGCCAGTTTAAATGTATATTTGCTATGATCTCATGTGGCTGATACAGCACGTTGAGGGGTTAAAAATAGCCTGGTTATTTTTCTGGGTGGGTTTTAGTATTTAATTAAATGTATAATCAATTCTGTGCCTGGTGCCAAAATGTAATTTCTTTCTCTGAATGCCTTTTGTAGTTACGGACCTACTGTGCATAAGGTTTGGTTTCTCACCATTCAGGCTGGCAATAGAAGCACAGGCGTGTTGGGTTCGTGAGTGTGTACATGTTGTATATCTTAACTGTTCCAAAATTTGATTTAATATAAATCTGTAACAAAGTATAATTTTACCACGTTTTAGGATTTCTGCCTCAAGAGTTTCTTTATTGGAAAAAGTTGTTTATTATTATTATTATTATTATTATTATTACTATTATTATTAATGTTATTATGTTTCTGTCAATATAATAAAGTTTTATTTCTGTTCTTGTATAGTTTATAAACTTCTCAGTGTTATACCCTTCTAAATCACAAATAGCACTTTTACTGGATCAATTTATTGTTTATTTTTGTTCATTTATGTCTTAAATGATTATGATTTATAATGTTTTGTTTCACCTCTTGGGGGTTCATAGTGCCATTTTCCCCACAGTTCATGAATGAAAATGTGTTTGAGCGACTTCTGGCTGCTTCACCGGAAGGACTAATTACTGAATCCACTAGAAACACACCACTGAATTGAATGTAGGCACTTTAAGTATAGGACTGTCATCCTTTACCAATATTTTAGCCTTTTCAAATCACACAGTCTCACACGTGTTCAAAGTGTGTGTTTTGGGAGTAAAAAAAGTTGTTACAAAATGAACACAAATCTTAACCAGGCTGTTCGACGATGATGCCATGTTCCAATGAAATAGTCCATCTGATAAGTTTTATTTTAGAGATCTGTAAAGGAACGTGTGCATGCTGTACTGTGCTTTTTTTTTTTTTTTTTTTTTTTTTTTGTGTTTATCAAGGAAATTCTAATAAAATCATCATGATTCTTAAGTCTGACTCTGTTGCCCTGTTACAGAATTCAGCCTTATATGCCTGCAGGCTTACAGAGCACTGTGCAAACCTGTGTTAGGCAGCAGAGGGCGATAGAGGCAAAATAAAAATGGAAACGGGTTTCCTCTCCATCAGCCTGCAGACACGAGGACATCAGGTGGTAAAGGATCTGTATTGCAGACAGATCCACAAGTTTTTTCTGTACCATTTGTATCATCATCCATTTTCAGAAGCTTAAAATTAATTGAACAATTGACCGATAACAAATGTTGAACTCGCTTTGAATATTTAACTGAAAAATGAAGTCCAATGAGATGCTGGGACGCATCAAAGCGATGGCAAAATTTCTGAATTGGCCAAATCAAAAAGGAATGCATTCAATATTAAAAGACCATGTAAGAACACTGAAGTAGATGATGACAGAATTGTTTTCATGGTTAAGAAACGCAAATAACCTCTGACCGAGTCAAGAACACTCTTGAGGAGCAAACCACTGATTACACTCAAGAACAGGAAGTCCAGATTTGCTAGAAAACATCCTGCACAGTCCAAGAAACATTCTTTGTTCCGGTGACACCAAGATGAAGCTGGAAAATGGGAAGAGAAAAGTATGGAGAAGGAGAGAAACCGCTCATGCATAATACACCTGGTCGAGGTAATTTTATGGCATGGGCTACCGCTGCGACCGCCACGGTGTATACATAATATGACTGCTGATTGAAGCAGCTGGACGAATTATGAAGTGTACAGAGCTATACTCTGCTCAGATTTAGACAAATGCCACAAAACTAACTGGACAAAGCTTCACAAATTAAAAGCAACCCAAAGTAAATGGCAAACCACAACATGTGGCCAAATCACTCACCGGAGCTCCTCTCAGGAAAGCAGCTTTTTAGTGACTGAATGCTAAAGTAAAGAGGCAGAGGATGTCAAGGCAAGAAATGCAGCACATCTGGTGGAGTTTACAGATATTAAATATTTAAAACAATCCTTATAATTAAAATTATGTTAGTTTAATCTATTAATTCTGAGACTCTGAAAATGGGGAACTGTTAATAGAATACATTTGTTAAACCCAATAAACTAAAGCTGAAAGTCTGCACTTCAGTGACTTCAATGATGGATTTTACATGAAGCATGTCAGTCATATATATAAATGTATATAATTCTTCTTGCTGCAGTCACTGTGTGTGTTTATGGAGACACACAGAATAGGCAATGATATGCTACCCCTTAATGGGTTAGTAACAGATACTGAAAATAACCTGCCCAGGCCACAGCCTCCCTTAAGGGTGACCCTCACACACTGGTATCTATGGAAAGGTATTGAGCAAACACAGAGTCTGTAAACAATCTGAGAAGGCTGTGTGAGCAGCAGCTCAGTGGAAGGTTTCACTGGGCTTTCTTACATTCTGCTCTGTTTGACTGAGCCAAGCACGTGACTGCCGGTGACATAATCAGAAAAGTCACTGCGTTGGTGGATTCAGCATTTTGAGTTTAGACATTAAGCTCATTTTGCAAGCACGAGTTGTTGAATGCATTCACACAGGGTTACAGAGAGGCATTTAGAGGGACCAGGCTAACAAGGAGCCATTTAACTCAGAGACAGTGATGAAATTTCCATTTGGTTAGTGCTTGTAGGCAAGTTTCAGCATTTCCACTAACACTAATGGACAAGCATTAAAGCGTAAGAGTGAAATCTGATCCCAAATCTCTTCCCCTAAGGTCAGCTTTGCTGGAGGGCTAGTTTTAAGTAGGCCATATACCTTGCAAACAGTGAGCCTCTCAGGGGGGCAGTGGTAACCGGATATGAAGCCTTCATACCAGACGCTCTGCATGAGGAGAATGTGCCCTGAAGGGTCAAGAGGTTGACACTCACATAAAGAAATGCATTCACTACATTCCAGGAACATCCCAATATTTTAATGGGTTTTGCACTGGTGTTTAATGATGTACGGAGAGAAAATGTGTCACCTGACAACCGGAACATGTTTCTGCATTGATGGTGTTCCCTCATGCACGAGGGGGTCGTGACTCAGCTAGTCTGCAGGCAAATTACGAGCCTGCTCAAAATGAAGACCGATAAGCTGAACTAAGATGCGATTTTGCCACAGCTGATCTGTTTTTATGCGCAGAAAGAATCAATGCAACAAATGAGAAGTTTGACTCTCTCTTTAGTACATAAGCACAACATTTATGCACATCGTACAAGTAATACCGCATACAAAAATAAAGAGGAAGTCTCTTAATGTGCAAGTAGCAGCAATGCATTGTTCAGTTGATTCGTGAGAAAGTCTCAAACATTAAGATGTATACCACAAATTGTCCAACAATGGAGCTACCAAGGGCTGGAGCAAAACACTGAATGCATGCTCCATGAGGGACAAGAGGGCTGCAGGACACAGAGGGATGTAATGGCAATCAAAGTCTTGACAGGTAAGGATTTCTTTGTATGACTATGATTTCCCAAATGAATAAAAAAATGAATTCCAGATCAGTTGGTGTGATTATGTCAGATCACCTTTAGGTTGCCCCTGCAGTCTGATGTAGCCTGTAAACACACAAAAAGTATCTCTAACAACATTTTTTACTCATGGCCGCTCACAGCAGGCCACAGGTTGTCTTTATCTAACGACATTTGCATGCACAGTGAAATATGAATGTAAACCACCATTGAAATATTTGCTCACAGATCTTGGACTGATCCAAAACGTCACATCTTTGCATACTGGTTCTGCCATGTTTTAAGCAGACATCTTAAAAACAGAACAAACTTTGTTGGGTTTTAACTGAAAATCAACCCCCCAAGACTGGAATAAAGAAAAAAAAAGTTCTTCTTTGCAAAACTTCACCAAACATCAGAGCAAGTACAACTTTGCAGTAGCCCTTATTCTCATTAATCAGTTCCCTCTGATACACATCAGGGTCAAGAAGGAATGTATTATTTTTTGACCTATAAAGTGCAAATTATTTAACCAGTTTCAGTTTTGTCAAGAGTTAAGTGCAGCTGCCCTGCAGAGTGACAGGCTGTGTTCAAATATCTTGGAAAATACAGTATTAACACAATTTAGTTTGCTTTATACAAGTGTATCCATCTGCGGAAACAGCTTTTAAAGAGCTGTTTGGATTACATACGTGTCCGAGTAGCTGCCTCTCATCGTTTCTGGGGTTCTCGGTTCACTTCCGCCCCAGGTGCTTAGAAATGACACCTCTGCATGCCAGCTGAGCTCTTCTTCTCTGATGCAGATGAAAGTCAGCCCGACCTTAAATGCCGCTTTACTGAGCTGCGTGAAAGAATGGTGTCACTCTGACATGGTTTCCCATTTCTGTTAGAAGCCAATAAATAATGGCAAAGGGCAGGTGGAGATTACAATAAAAAGGAGCAAGCCGTGATTAGATGGTGGGTCATGGTGGGTTTGGTCTGTTGGAAACGCAGACTAGTGGGAGAGAGCCGTGGTCGAACAGCTTGTATGGCAGAGAACCTTTAGAGGTCCAAACGTCTGTTTTTGGGTCGTAGCACTCGAAGCAGTCCGAGTCCTCGATGACGTCGTGGCCATTCAGGATGCGTCCACCTGTGACGTAGATCTTGCCGTTGATCACTGTAGCACTGTGATGCATTCGTCGCTCCTTCAGGTTCTCACACTTGAAGAATTTGTTGGCTTTGGTGTCGTAGGCAATCATTCGCGTGGTGTACCCTGGAGATTAGATGGTTGGTAAGTCATAGTAAATTACATATAGTAAACAAATCCCAAAGTCGACCAAGCAGGTCGAAATATGAGTCAAACTATATTATAGGCAATATATTATATATAGTCCATATTTTAGCGTAAAACAGCTGCCGAGAACAACATTTTTTTCTCAGTTTTTTGAAAGTAAAAATGCGTCCTTACCTCCTATGATATAGATCTTGTCGTCTATGACGGCGGCGGGAGCACAAACATTTTTCACAGTCCTTGTCTCTAATTTGGACCACAGATTGCGAGCGATGTGATACACCTGTGTAACAGCACAAACACCATCAATCAGCCTTTTTGGATTTCCTGAGCATCGCAGGCTGTTCTTCACTGAATGCTAACTTTGACTGAAGCCTTCCTTACCTGAATCAGCCTGACTGGGTTCTGCATGGCGTCCTCCCCTCCAAAAACATAGATCTTCTGATCACTGGCTGCAACAGCTGGATGAAGCACGGCTGTGGGCATGGGTGCCATGGCCTCCCACTGGTTAAACATACTGTTATACCTCTCTACTGACTGAGAGATGCGCTTATCTACACCGATGCCTCCTAACACAAAAATAAAGTGCAGGTATGAGACGCTTTGGTGGGCATATCGTGGCTCCAGCATGGGCTCGGCAGTCCTCCACTGGTTGGTTTTGAGGGAGAGTGTGTAAACTGTAGCGCTGACCGAGCTGTCGCCTGATGCCATGCAGAGGCTGAGCCCGCCGAGGACGTAGAGGATACTGTGAATGCACACATAAGCAGCTTTGTAGAGGCGCAAGGGGAGCTTGGCCAACCACTGCCAACGCTGAGTCCTTTCGTCATAGAGTAACGCTTCCCTTGAAGTCTGTTCGTTGTTTTTGCGTCCTCCAACTACCACCAGTGTTTCTCTGCAGGTATAACGTCTCGGTGTGGTCCACAGAGGCTTCAGCTCACGGCTGCACTTGGCGCTGACTGTAAGCATAAGGCGACGGACTGACTCGATTATCTCAGTGCAAAGGCTGGAGCTCTGCACCAGTGGATCATTGGCAATGAACTGGAAGAGGTAAGTTGGGTGGATGTAGCGCAGACGGACTTTCTTGAAGAGATCGTGGATTGCGCCCCTCCGTGAGAACGGGTCATGGTGGATCCACGCCAGCAGGGTCTCAAACACTTGTTCCTCCTCAGCACAAAGTCGGTCGTCTTCTAGGTAACACATGAGCTCTGGGA